AACATCGTAAACGACAACTTTTGTGGTGAAATGTAGTTTGGATTAAACGAAAAGTTTAATGGATAAGTTATTGCTCGACATTTCACTAACACAAAATTTGAATCTAGACTAAAAAACGTGTGTGGACTTTGTCAATACGCGGTTACACTCTGTTCCACGCCTCGGGCGTCTAGCGCGGGGAGCTGTAACGATACCTTACTACACTTTTTAAATCTGTATTTGGTAGACTACCCCCCACTCTAGCTCCTGCGTTTTGCATCGGACTGGTATGTAACGCTTTCTTTTGTTACCGCACAGAGTTATGACCGTTTACGGCGATCTATTTAAAAATTTGTTATTGTATGAAAGTAAAGTGTGTTGAATTATTTAAGCGTGATACACACGATAGAGCGAGTGCGGGTCGGATGCATGTCAGCTCGGGAGCACGGCGGGTGTAATTCCGTGTATAATATCCATATAATTAATTACACAGAATTGCACCCGCCGTGCTCCCGACCCGACACGCGCCCGACCCGCACCCGCTGTCAGTGTGTTTCACGCTTAAAAGTCATGGTCGAAAATTGTTATTCATGATGTTAGTAATACAGCCCTGACAGGTTGTTGGTATTTTACAAATCACCTGTATGTAAATTAATTAGTACTGAATGAAATGTGTTCTTTGAGATATAATTAATTCTTGGCATGATAACATCAAGCTTATGACTGATAACTTTAAATTGTTTTAATTACTTATGTTAATTACGAAATAGTTAGTTGGAACTCGTGATTTTGAAGCTTTTTCACACTCGTTTATCTTGTATGGGGAAAATGGGAAAAATAATATTAGAAATTGTGGGGAAAATGAGAAAAGTCAATGCTCTTATAAATACTCTTTAATAGAATTTTTTATGGAATCAATATTATTGCTCAAACATGGAGGGCTTTTACAATCGATTTATTGATATAAACAGTTTTCAAACATTAACTATGTACACTTGTATATTTCTATTGTTGACTTTGATATGTAAATATTTAGAAAGAAAATGCTTGCGAAGAACTGATCATATGACAATAACTATGCAAAAGGTAGCTGTTCCATAAACGTAAACTTGTAGAATTGAACTTGTGTAATAGAGCGAGTTCTGAGATTTTTGCGATTGTTACACATAGGAAATGAAACAATTTTGTTTCCATCTAAATCGCGTATATTTGTATTTTCAAATAAACCAACGTTTCAGATCACGGTTGACTGAGATGGTCTACCATCTATCAGCGATATAGATGTGAAAATAGTTATTAATTTTTTTACAAAAAAATCAACCTCAAGTTTTTGTGGAATTACATCCCTTTGCTAGGTTTTATTGAAATCGGTTAACCGACAGTGAGTGTATCCCAATAAACCGGATTCATCCCCTATTTTGCTACCCTTAGAGGTGTAATATTTTCTTCAAATTTGGTTGGGACCACTACTGAGGGGATGCTCGTTGCATCAAAAGAAATCGAAATCGGTTCACAGATGTCGAAGTAATTGCATGACGTACACATAAAAGCAGTAGAATTGAGAACTTCCTCCTTCTTTGAAGTCGGTTAAAAATAGTTTCATTTCCTTGGTATAATTCGTTTTACAGAAAAAATATTCTTGTTATTTTCTTTGAAATTTGAAAGTAAGTTACACAGCAAGATTGCTGATGTTTCGTCTAGGACCACATGCACAAATTCTCTCAACTATAGTAGTGTAACCATATTTATTTATTTTTCTACAATATTAGTTTAAATGATACTAAAGTGCAAACGGCAGCATATCAAGCTATAAAAAGCAACCCCTAGAGTTCCTTGTTCTTTTTTCTCAGTGGAATCTACGTTACAGACGAGCAGTAGAGTTTAATCAGTAAGACGATTTCAAGTGTCATTTGCTTACCCATAAAATAAAAGTTATATGACTTTGACTTTACACATTGACGAATCTTGTTCCGTGCACTGGAGCAATTTTCGAACAAAAGTGCTATAGCTTGATGTACTATTGACTATACACAATTTTATATTTGGATGCAATATGATAATAACTAAATGTTTTGTGTGTACTTTAATATAATAAACAATAATATTGTAGATAAAATAAATGTGAGTTACACCACCTTTGCGCTAATAGCCTCATTTAGCCTTGTACTATAATTGATTACTTTGTAGTGTACATTTATGTCAAAAGCAAATAAACATTTATTATTATTCTACACACCAAGAGTGTGACCCTTCTTTAGGGGAAAACATTATATATTTTTATATATTAGTCGGGAAAACATTGTTCTACCAAAACAAGTTCAATTCACTTGCATGTAATTTTGCAATAACCTCGTATCAATTTAAAAAAGTCTTGTATATACATAGATTAATATTTATAAAAGTTTGTGCAATTAATTAAACGCAACGTGTTCTGTCCAGTGACTATGTAAAATTTTTGTTTCATTGTTGCGTGTTTTAGAGTAATGTTATTCCACGTAGTGTTAGGCGCGCACTGCGGCGGTAAAAATATAAAATTCCAGCTAACGGTTTACATTTAGGGCGCTGGATGCGGAGATCTCGGGTTCAATTCCCGGTAGGACCAATTTGGGAAATTAATTTTTCTAAATTGGTTCTGTTCTGGGTGTAATAGGAAGTGCCCCAGAGTGAATTCCGTTGCTTTGGTTATCATAGTGCAGGGAATTCCCTGGTTTGAGATCAGGCAATTGGTGTGGTTGTATGGCAGATGTTATTATTATTATTATGAATAATTATGAAACCAATAATCTAAGTACAGAGTACTAAAAAAACCGACCTCAAAAGTTCGTGGAATTACATCTTTTTGCCAAGTTTTATTGAAATCAATTACCGGAAAGTGCGCGAAACCGGATTCGGTCCTTAGTTTGCCACCCTTAGAGGTGAAATATTTTCTTCAAATTTAAATGGGAGCAATATTGAGGTACCCTCTTTCTAACAAAAAAGAATCAGCAAAATCGATTCACAAATGAGTTATCGCGTAACATACATACAAAAAAATACAGTCGAATTGAGAACCTCCTCTTTTTTTTGAAGTCTATAAAGTCCTGTTTGGAAGTATTTGAGGTCTTAAAGTATTTACGTATATTTCCGCTTCTGCATCCATTTACACTAAGATTTACATTTGACATCTGTTTCCGTTTCTAGGGGTGTAATCCTGTTCTCTGTCCAACATCCGTCCGAAACAATTACCATATTACTGTCAAACATGTCTGTGGCTCTGGTGAAAAGGGGTACGAATAAAAAAAGCCAACTTTACAAGGAAACACAATGCTTAATATCATATTAAGCTTTAACTGTTTTTCATACTTGACATTGTGACACATGGAGAACGGGAGTAGACGCCCTGTTTCGGTTATGACACTTCCTATGCATCACTAATATTTATGGGTTGACAGAGAGTTCAAAACACAGATACACTTTCAATTAAAATTATAAAATCGCTCAAACTCGGTCGCTAATTTTTAACGCACATTTTCATTTACACAATTGTGAATATCACATTCACTGAAGCACAAAAGTTGGAGTATGAAAAGTTGTAATGTGATGTAATTTTATTCCCGATTGTGCAAAAAGTTCCGTTTATCCCCCGGTACCATTCCAATTTACACCAGTCTTGAATAAATTTCGTTCCTATTTGCCCCAGCCCAATAATCCCCTTTCCCTATTCACTCCCACCCCCATTCACTCATGTTCCGCTCAGTCCGCTTAAAATTGGTTCATGTTCTAGTCTAGTTGTAAATATTGTTTGTTGTTATTCTACAGTTTATTGTTAATAATAAAAGTTGATAAGATAATTTTTATAGCTTTATGAAAATGTTCAACAAACCAATTACTAGGTACCACACACTGAACGCCTTTAGTATTTGCATACTTGCACATTTTTGTTTTTCTACGTTCTTTTATTTTCTTAAACTGGTCTTTTCGAGTATATTATTGTGAAAATTGTTTAATATTCGAGTATAGTACATACAGGGTGTACTGTAAATATTGTAGATGGGATTTTCGATCAAATATTGATCAAAGGATGGATTATTTTGTTTCATGGAGACATTTATTTTATTTTTAAAAGTAAGTGATATTGCATTCAATACTTTTTTAAACTTGCTTGCCTCACCTGAGAATCGAACCGACCTAATGTGAATACAATGTGAATGTACACAAGAAGATGGATCAAATTTTGAATTTTTTTTAATAAAAACCTGTCGCATAAGTTCGTGACACTGCATCTAAATAGATGGCAAATGCCAATTTTTGTTGATATCGGTTAATGGAAAGTGGGTGAAATCCAATAAACGTCGAATATTGTCTTCGAATTTGGAAGGAACCAC